AAGGACGAGTGATTTCGGGGGGGAAGGGTCGGCGTCCGTGGGAGGTCGAAGAGGGAAAAAGGCCACGAACGAATGCTGTGCCGGGCGTGAACCTTGTAGAGACTCAGGGTGAGCACTACAGAGTTGGAGCTCTGTGCGGCGCCATGGTGAATTAACTGACTCAGACTGGATTTCTGCAGGGGGCGGGCACCCTGTAGGGTCCCAAGGTAAGCCTGCAGACCTTGAGTTCTGTATGGCGCCTTGTGAACTATAGGACGCCACCGCCTGTTCATCGACAGGGGTGGGCATCCCAGCCCACCATCACCAATGAGCCTCGCGGAGGTACAGTGGCGGTGCAGTGTGGCCGTACCTCTTCTGGGCAAGTGGAGGCAGGACCGCCAACATTTCCGCCGGGCTGTGTCCTGGAGGTCAGTACCTCAGTCCTGCGAATGTGGAGAACGCACAGGACCGCCAGCATTGCCACCGGTCTATGTCCTGGAGGTCGATGCCTCGATTACGGGGTATATACGTCCAGGCCCGCCAGCCAAGTCACCAGGTTGTGAGCTGAATGTGAGTGCACGTTTGGAGGGTGGACAGGACCGCCAGCGTTACCGCCCAGCTGTCCTGGAGGTCGGTACCTCTGGAATGAAGGTGCGGAATGGAAGCAGAGTCGCCGGCATTGCCGCCAGGCTGTCCTGGAGGTCAGTACCTCAGGTGTGCGAGTGCGGAGAGAGTGCAGAGGACCGCCAGCATTGCCGCCGGTCTGCCTCCTGGAGGTCGATGCCGTGATAATGGGGAACATGTTTAGGCCCGCCTACCTATTCACCAGGTGGTGACTTGAGTGTGCCTCTTGCGCGCACGTGTAAAGGGTGGGCCGGACCGCCAGCGTTGCCGCCGGACTGTGTCCTGGAGATTGGTGCCTCAGGTGCGCAGGTGTGGAATGAAAGCAAGACCGCAGGCATTGCCGCCGGGCAGTGTCCTGAGGCCAGAACACCTGCTGGCCCCTTGCCACTGTCGCCCCGCTGCTAACTCCACTGGGTGCTCGGCTGGGGCGCTCGTCGGGTGTGGCATCCCGCACCCTTATTGGCGCCCCGTGCGTCCCCACCGAACCCCCCAGAAGAGTTGAGCGCACAAGCGACTGGGAAAGAGAGGGGGGACATAGCAGGACGAGTGAGGGTCCCAACAGCAGGCAGGGGCAGGGTGGAGAAGGGGTTGTCACGGCTATGGAGCAGCATTGGCACGGGGTTCGGCCAGCTCCGTGCCAGAGTTGCGAGTGCGGTCCAGCGGAGGTGGTCTCCGTTTGTTCCATCACACCATCGGCGAAGAGGGCGCATGCCACAGACTCGGAAGACAGAGACCCAGGGTAAGCACGACAGAGTTGGAGCTCTGTGGGGCGCCATGGTGAATTAACTGACTCAGACTGGATTTCTGCAGGGGGCGGGCACCCCACCCTGTAGGGTCTTAAGGTAAGCCTGCAGACCTTGAGTTCTGTATGGCGCCATGGTGAATTCATTGATAAGCCAGTAGATAAAGAGGAGGAGGAGGAGGAGGAGGAGGAGGAGGAGGAGGAGGAGGAGGCCCAAGACCAAGATCAAGAAACGCTAGGAACCAGTTCAAAACGCTGGGGGGCAGTTAAAGTCATAATTATTGAAACGCACGACAGTGGAAGGCCGACCTAGGCCAAGAGAACTAAGGCACGTGCTTGGGGCAAAGCCCAGCACATCCAAACCCGCGGTGGGGGCAAGTAGGAGGAGGAGGAGGAGGAGGAGGAGGAGGAGGAGGAGGAGGAGGACAAATATGAA